TCTCTCTCTCTCTCTCTCTCTCTCTCTCTCTCTCTCTCTCTCACCCCGTTCCTTCACCGGCTTTCTCTCTCTCCCCCTAGCTTGGATTCCAAAGAAGCTTGCTAGTAAAGATTCACTCCATTTTCAGACTTCCAGCTGTTGGCACCAAGTCGAGAGTAATTTTACCAGCATGTGGGCCAACTTTCAGTCCAGACTCCAGATGCAGCGATGATAGACAAGCCGCAGTGCACGTGCTGTTATAAATAGTCTCTTGCGGTCTTCCTCCAATACAACGCCCGGTTATTAAACCTTCAGTCCAGATGCAGCGATGATGACCCGGCGTTCTATTCGGATGAAGACGGTAATCGCAGAGTGGCAGATGGTTCCACGACGGGAATATTATCGGTTGCGCATAGTACTATCAATCGGATCTTGCCGTAAATGCGGTCGAATACACAAAGGACAGCGCAAATGTGCATATGCGCTGCAACTTTCTCCCAGAAGCACTTATTCTTCGAAGCCGAACAATCAATCAAACAGCGGCTCAAATCGGAGGATCCGTGCGTCCCAACTGAAAGCTTGAACGGATACAGCGTGCCATCTTTGCCTGCAGTGAACCAACAGAAACTACCCCCACCTAATCTGCTGTGCGATCACTCTCGGAGAAACCTCGCTCAGATCGTGCGATCGACGATTGTCACATCGTACCCGTCCATCACTGCACTGTACGACGTCACTTCCGACATCCCCGAGCTGCGCGCGCACCTACAATACGCACTCACAGTCGTTGTGTGTGCATGTGTGCGTGTGTGTGTGTGTGTGTGTGTGTGTGTGTGTGTGTGTGTGTACATCTAGATGTGTATAAGAGACAGGTGTGTGTGTGTGTGTGTGAGAGAGAGAGAGAGAGAGGCCCACCACTATGGGAATGTGCAAAACGAGAATGTACCTTGCCTCGTTCTCCAGGAAGATTCATGCTCGTTTTGCACAGTTAGAGAGTAGCAGGAGTTCTCTTCCACATCGTGATCGTATAGTTGAATTGGTTGGGATTACAAAAATTAGCCCTTTAAATAGTTTTCTGGGGCGGCAAAACTGAAACGGCTCTTTTTTGAACTCATTTGTGTTTCTCTAATGATCCCTTTTTCTCCCTCTTTTCTGGGGCGCATATATGGTAGAGGAGGAGGGGAAGGAAGGGGAGGAGCGCCTGACGGGAAAGGGGAGGAAGAGGGGGAGGACGGGAGGAGGAGGAAGTGCCTGTGGGGAAGGATGACGAAGCAGAGGAGGAGGTGGACGAGGAGAAGGGGGATGGGGGGAGCGGGGAGGACGGGCATGGAAAGAGGAGATGGAGGAGGAGGAGGAGGAGGAGGAGAAGGAGGAGGAGGAGGAAGAAGGGACGTTCTATCATTCCACCTGCAATAAAGTAATAGAGCGCGTCTCCCTTCTATCTTCCTCTTCCTCGTTTTCCCGTCCGTCCTCTCCTTACGCCACACTACCCAATGAAAGATCATCTCTGACGACAGAATGATAAGACAACACACGGCAACGGAAAAAGCAGAGACGACTTCGTCATTTGAAATGAATAGCAATCACTTGAAAGTTGAAATTAATAGCTATGAAAGTGAGCTGCCCGAGTCTTCCTTATGTGCTCTCTGCCTCTCTCTCTCTCTCTCTCTCTCTCTCTCTCTCTCTCTCTCTCTCTCTCTCTCTCTCTCTCTC